GTAGCACCACTTCCTCCAAATGACAGATCCCTGTTTTGCTTCTGTTTGTAAACAAGCCCGGTGAGGATCCTGGCTGATGTCATTGACCAAGAACGATCATTACCATATACTGGTTGACGTGTCAGTGAGCTATCGTGATTGATGTGGATCTACATCACTGGACGTGACTGATGTCGGTTTGCAAACAGCGGTCAGGGATCTGTCATTTAGTTCCAGCAGCACCACTGTTTGCCTCCAAATGACAGATCCCTGTTTGCCTCTGTTTGTAAACAAGCCGGTTTGGATCCTGAGTGATGTCATAGACCAAGAACAATTGTTACCATATGTGGTTAATGACATCACCTAGGATCTCTCCACAATGTGTACATTCTAGCAGTACTGGGGATCTGTCCATTGCAATGGGAGTAGGGGCTGGTTGATGTGTTGGTGAGTCATCATGACTGACGTGGATCTGCATCACTAGACATGACTGATGTTGGTTTAAAACAGTGGTCAGGGATCTGTCATTTGGTGCAAAGTAGCACCACTTCCTCCAAATGACAGATCCCTGTTTTGCTTCAGTTTGTAAACAAGCCAATGAGGATCCTATATGATGACATTGACCAAGATTGATTGTTACCATATACTGGTTGACGTGTCAGCGAGTCGTGATTGACTTGGATCTGCATCACTGGACGTGACTGATGTCGGTTTGCAAACAGCGGTCAGGGATCTGTCATTTAGTTCCAGCAGCACTACTGCCTCCAAATGAGAGATCCCTGCTTTGCTTCTGTTTGTAAACAAGCCGATGAGGATCCTGCATGATGTCACTGACCAAGAACGGTTGTTACCATATACTGGTTGATGTGTTGGTGAGTCATCATGATTGACGTGGATCTGCATCACTAGACGTGACTGATGCCGATTTGCAAACAGTGGTCAGGGATCTGTCATTTAGTTCCAGTAGCACTACTGCCTCCAAATGACAGATCCCCGCTTTGCTTCTGTTTGTAAACAAGCCATCAAAGATCATGGGTGATCTCACCTTGAGACTTTCTACAGAGTTCAGTCTGATCACCGGTAGAGAAGGGACTGAGGAAAGGCTTCCTCCAGCCAGCAGTAGACTGATGACATCATCCCAGCCTAGGCAAAGTCACTGGAATGGGGTTCAAGGATGGTTTTTCAAAATATTAAAGGTGAAGCCTTTCTGAAAAATGATACTATTTCTGTGTATATTGTTGCAATTTATTACTGTTGCCACTTCTTACCCTACTACTTGTCACTGACAGGTCCACTTTAAGGCCAACTCTGCAAGGGTCCGACTCATGACAGGTCCTCTTGCTTCCCGGCAGGGGTGTAGAAATGGAAGAAATGGACACCTACATAGTAAACAGATCAGGAAAGGAGTCGTCTCGCAATCACGCCGGGGGAGGCCCGCCGCTTGCCAATTGTTTGCTGGCGACACACGAGGAACATCCAGTGCGGTGGAGGAGCTTCCAGGAACATCTGGATGTTGGGTGGAGACGGAGGGGACCACAGAGGGTGATGAGGAGGAAAGAGATCAGATCCTACAAGAAAACAGGTCAATGAGGGGTGGAGAAATATCGCCATTCCAAGGAGAGGACGGGCAGGACCCACCACAAGGAGGTTCAACCGAAAGCCAACATTTCAGGAAAGATGTAGGAAACAAGGTGGGTCAAAAAACGTGCAAAACTATTGACTTGTGGAAAGGCGGTCGGTTCATCGCATCGATCTTTTACAGACCGGGGATTGTGCATCATGGTTGCCTTCTCTCAGTGAAAGTCTACCAGTCGGGCCTGACTGGCTGAAAACAATATACTGCGGGGCCAGGGGCGGACTGACCATTTGGAAACTCGGGCACTGCCCGAGGGCCCGGGGTCAGTAGGGAACCTCATGAGATACCCCTGGTACCTTTTTCATAGGTTTTCTTGAGTTTGGGCAAGGACACAGGGGCCCCATGATCCCCTATTGCCCGGGGGCCCCATGAGTTGTCAGTCGGCCCCTGTGCGGGGCTGAAGTTTTATCTCGGCAGATGTTGGTGAAGGAGATCTACCGCATGCAATGAAATACGGGATGAAGAATACTCAACAGAAGATCTCTATGTGCAAAAGTAATGGGAATTCGACTATATGGGGGTAACAAAGGGATGACCTTACCTGACTCCTTTGGTGTCCAATCAGTAGGTTGGTGGGCATGGGGGGGGGTGTGACCCAGGGGCGGGTTGACAACTCATGGGTCCCCCGGGGTAATAGGGGATCATGGGGCCCCTGTGTCCTTGCCCACACTCAAAGCACACCCAAAAAAGCCTATAAAAAGGTACCAGGGGCATTTTCATGGTGCCCCCTACTGACCCCGGGCCCTTGGACAGTGCCCGGGTGCTCGAATGGTCAGTCCGCCGCTGGTGTGACCCTGTATTCTGTAATAAGTGGGGTCACCTACCTGGCTACGCAGCGCATTAGGGGATTCTGTGGACCCCAAACATAACCAGAACCCCCCCGCTAAGTAAAACAATTGCCACCTCAAATTTCAGCTGTGTTGGCTCCTAAAGCCCAAAAAAGCGAGATTAAAAATGGACAGCCCATTAAAAAGGTTTTAAAAAAAAGAAAGAGCTTTTGCTGCAATAATCACCGCACTCCAGAAATTTACTTTTTTCTGCCACTAGACGTCCTCATTCTGACGGCCAGCATCATTCAGCTCACTTCCTCTGAGCCCGGGTCATCCTGACCCCGTCCTTGGCCTGTGAATGGACAGTGAAACGAAAAGCAGCACAGTGATTGCGAACCCTTACATGTACCCAGGGAAGCTGCTAGCCTCAGACGCAATACACAGATCAGGGGCGGACTGACCATTTGGAAACTCGGGCACTGCCCGAGGGCCCGGGGTCAATAGGGGGCCCCATGAGATGCCCCTGGTACCTTTTTCATAGGCTTTTTTGAGTTTGGACAAGGACACAGGGGCCCCATGATTCCCTATTGCCCGGGGGCCCCATGAGTTGTCAGTCCGCCCTGACACAGATATAAAACAAAACATTCCTAAACAAGCTGCACCTGTCTGAATTGCTTTATAACGCTTGTCTGAGCTTTCAGAAAACGGGGCAGAGAGCTGAAATTACACACTGCAGAGCTCAGGTGAGGAGAACTCAGAGCTGACTGGAGAGAAGAGATAGCCCCCCTCCACATAGCTCACAGGAAGAGACCTGAGGCTATCAATCACAGGGCTGTGTGCTGGAGCTCCCTCCCCGTCACCTTTTTTTTTTCCTCTTGGTGTCAGGAAAACGTGTCAGAAGTGACTCGCGCTGATAGCAGAGGAAGGAGGCGACAGACAGAAGAGACACTTAGTGCTCTGGATTGAGACAATGACACTCTATAGAGGGATGTGCTTTGTTCATATTTCATGTCTGAGGTTTACAACCGCTTTAACTCCGTCACTTCGCTCTCTCTCCTCCTATCAGCATGCCTCGAGTCAGCACACGTTTGTTTTTTCTGGGTGCTAAACGCACGTGGATTTTTTTATGCATTTTTTGTTACCGCGCTTTTTGGTGCATTTGCAGCGCGTTTGACGCAAACGGCATCCGCTTCCCACGCATGAACATGGCGCCGCATGGACCGCACAGAAAACGTACACTGCGCCGCGCGTTTCGGAAACATGCTGCAAACACGCATCGGGCTTGCGTTACCTTTACCTGATAATGACACTCTCAAGCGCGGGAAGCGGGCCCCCGTTTGCGACAAATGTGCAGGCCCTCGCGATCGCGCTTTTTCTATTTCCCCGCCGTTCAGCTTTCAGTTACTTTGTTACTTTCAAGTCCCATTTGTATCACTTTCTCATCTTTGAGGGGCAGTGGAATCACCCGACAAATATTTGCGCGGTCCAACGCCAAGATGCAAAACGACTCCGTGGATCCATCCCACACTTCGAGGGGGAAAAATAAAAGTTCTGCCCAGTTAAATCTGCGCTCGTTAGGCCCCTCCCCCCCTTCCTCGTTCGCCATTCTTCCCTCGGCATAAAGCGCCCCTTTGTCTCCGGCCCATCTTTGCTGCGATAGGGTCATGACTGGCCCGCGGCCAAAGGGCGCGCAATCTCACGGCCTCCAAAACAACTTGTCAGCGGAAAAATAAATAATACACGGCTCTCTGTGTGCTGCGGGTTGTGGCGGGGAAAGGGTTCAACGGGTCAATAGGGCATCTCGAGGGGAGGGGCTGATGCTGTGCCCCGGTGGGGGGGCGCATGAGGGGTGGCTGCTTGATATCGCCAGGCCTTTGTGGCTGTGAATGGGCGAGGGACGTTTATTGGAGAGGAAATTGGCGTTTTATCTGATGGTCGCAGCCTTGCGCTGCGGGAGGGGGAGGGGCTACGGTAGGACTTATTACATAACTTGCTGATCTCGTCAGAATTCAGAGCCGTCCCTCAGCACAAAGGTGTCTAATTATCCCCCCCGAGTCCCTCTCTGGGGGGTTACAGAATACTTGGGTGTCTGGGCTGCAGAGCTGAGGAGAGCAGGTAGTTTAATAAAAGACAGCATGGCAGGGCTGACACCAGCCGGTCCACAAAATGGCTGGGTCTCTGTGCTTCTCTCTGCGACGCAGGGAAATCACGGCTGGTGGGAGGGTGCTTCCTGACTCAATACACCTTTCAAGAGCAGTGGGTGGAGTCAGGCAAATATCAGAAAAGATTGATGGGTGGGTGTCGGTCTGGAGGAGTGGGTGTTCCTAGGCAGGCTGGATTTGTATGCAACGCCCACATGTGATGCTGAACCTCCATGACTGAAAGAAATGAAATCCAATGAAAGGGGCGGGGCCAGGGACAATCAGGTTGGGGGGAAATGGATGTTGATGTCCTCCAGCCAGGAAAAGAGGCGGAGCTCTGACTTGCTGCAGCTTCTAATGTACATTGTGAGAAGCTCACAGTGTGCGGTGACATCAGAGGAAGCCGTTTCAGTCCAGGGGAGGAGCCGGTACACCTGTGCAAGACTGAAGGGGAGGAGCCGGTACACCTGTGCAAGACTGAAGGGGAGGAGCCGGTACACCTGTGCAAGACTGGAGGGGAGGAGCCGCTACACCTGTGCAAGACTGGAGGGGAGGAGCCGCTACACCTGTGCAAGACTGAAGGGGAGGAGCCGCTACACCTGTGCAAGACTGAAGGGGAGGAGCCGCTACACCTGTGCTAGATTGCAGGGGAGGAGCCGATACACCTGTGCAAGACTGAAGGGGAGGAGCCGCTACACCTGTGCAAGACAGAAGGGGAGGAGCCGCTACACCTGTGCAAGACTGGAAGAGAGGAGCCGCTACACCTGTGCAAGACTGGAGGGGAGGAGCCGCTACACCTGTGCAAGACTGAAGGGGAGGAGCCGCTACACCTGTGCAAGACTGAAGGGGAGGAGCCGCTACACCTGTGCAAGACTGAAGGGGAGGAGCGGTACACCTGTGCAAGACTGGAGGAGAGGAGCCGCTACACCTGTGCAAGACTGAAGGGGAGGAGCCGCTACACCTGTGCAAGACTGAAGAGGAGGAGCCGCTACACCTGTGCAAGACTGAAGGGGAGGAGCCCTACACCTGTGCAAGACTGGAGGGGAGGAGCCGCTACACCTGTGCAAGACTGAAGGGGAGGAGCCGCTACACCTGTGCAAGACTGAAGGGGAGGAGCTGCTACACCTGTGCAAGACTGAAGGGGAGGAGCCGCTACACCTGTGCAAGACTGAAGGGGAGGAGCCGCTACACCTGTGCTAGATTGAAGGGGAGGAGCCGATACACCTGTGCAAGACTGAAGGGGAGGAGCCACTACACCTGTGCAAGACTGAAGGGGAGGAGCCGCTACACCTGTGCAAGACTGGAAGGGAGAGCCGCTGCACCTGTGCAAGACTGGAGGGGAGGAGCCGCTACACCTGTGCAAGACTGAAGGGGAGGAGCCGCTACACCTGTGCAAGACTGAGGGGAGGAGCCGGTACACCTGTGTAAGACTGAAGGGGAGGAGCCGCTACACCTGTGCAAGACTGAAGGGGAGGAGCCGCTACACCTGTGCAAGACTGGAGGGGAGGAGCCGCTACACCTGTGCAAGACTGGAGGGGAGGAGCCGCTACACCTGTGCGAGACTGAAGGCGAGGTCAGATTTTAAGGGCCAAAAGAAGAAACAGCTGGGCCCTTGATGCTCTCCTGGGAACCAGTAAGCTCGGGGTAGGAAATGCTTATGACTTCTGAAACGCTCCTCAGGTTTGTGTTAAGAGGGACGTCAATTTTATTCCCTGATCCACAGATGATCACTAGGGGGAGCACTTTCAATTAGTATTAAAAAAAAATTGCCAATGCAGCAACTGAATAAGTATTATTGAAGAAGAAAGAAAGAAGAAAAAGAAAGAAAGAAAGAAAGAAAGAAAGAAAGAAAGAAAAAAAAAAAGAAAGAAAAGAAAGAAAAAAGGAAAGAAAGAAAGAAAAAGGAAAAGAAAGAAAGAAAGAAAGAAAGAAAGAAAAAAAAGAAAAGAAAGAAAGAAGAGAAAGAAAGAAAGAAGAAAGAAAGAAAGAAAGAAAAAGAAAAGAAAGAAAGAAGAGAAAGAAAGAAGTCTTGTATAATAATTCTCATAAATCCTATATAATAATAGTAATTATAAAGCCCCTCCTCCCATGAAGGCTCCTCCCATGAAGGCTCCTCCCATGAATGAGGTGTAACACAAGCAGATATAATAGACTTTCCTATGTAGGTAGTAATGGTGGCAGCTCCAGGACTAACAATGGTCCTCGCTGACAGAGGGAGAAGTTCGGCTTTCACGCTCGCTGTCCTGCTCACCCTTCAGGGGGTTGTCCCACTGAAGATGATTGAGCCCGCGGGGTGTCAGTCACATTCCATCGCAGGTCACATCAGCATTGTTGTTGCTTTCAAAAGCCCGGTTGTATCTGTAAGACTAGATGTCCCGAGAACCCCCCCCCCCCCCATCAGGTGCCAAGAGCCCCCCACCATCAGAAATAAAGAGCCCCCCACCATCAGAAACAACGAGTCCCCCACCCTCCCTTACATCACAGTGCACCCCCCCTCATCCTTACCTTGGACTAAGCTGGAGGGCAGAGCTGGGAAGAAGAAAGTGCAGGGTCTGGAGGAGGATCTGAGGAGAGCAGGAGCCAGCTGAATGCTGAGACCAGGGAAGGCGGAGATGAGGGGTGCTGTAGCTGCAAAGAGAGGTGCAGGATCTGTAGGAGGAGTCCTGTCCTCCTCTCTACTGCCGACTGCTTAGAGGGGGGAGGGGCAGAGATGAGCCTTTCCATGACTGTACAGAGAAGTGCAGGATCTGAAGGAGGAGCTCTGCCCTCTTCTCTGCTGCTGACTGCTGAGACAAGGTGATGGCAGAGATGAGGGATGCTGCAGATGCATAGAGAGGTGCAGGATCTGTAGGATGAGTTCTGTCCTCCTCTTTGCTACTACTGAGACAAGGTGGGGGTGGAGATGAGGGGTGCTGCAGCTGCATAGAGAGGTGCAGAATCTGTAGGAGGAGTTCTGTCCTCTCTGCTGCTGACTGCTGAGATGAGGAAAGGGAAAGAGATGAGCCTCTCCATGACTGTGAGGAGAGGTGCAGGATCTGTAGGAGGAGTTCTGTCCTCCTCTTTTGCTGCTGAGATGAGGAGGGGAAGAGATGAGCCTCTCCATGACTGTGAGGAGAGGGCAGGATCTGAGGAGGAGTTCTGTCCTCCTCTCTGCTGCTGACTACTGAGATGGGGGGGCAGAGATGAGCCTGTCCATGGGAGTACAGCGAAGCGCAGGATTTGGAGGAGAAGCTCTGTCCTCTTCTCTGCTGCTGACTGCTGAGATAAGGTGAGGGCAGAGATGAGGGGGTGTCCAGGGGCGGACTGACAACTCATGGGGCCCCCGGGCAATAGGGGATCATGGGGCCCCTGTCTCCTTGCCCACACTCAAAGCACACCCAATAAGCCTATAAAAAAGGTACCGGGGCATTTCATGGGCCCCCTACTGACCCCGGGCCCTTGGGCAGTGCCCGAGTGCTCGAATGGTCAGTCAGCCCCTGGGGGTGTCGCATCTGCAGTAGATGTGTGAGGGCCACATGACATGGCCTGTGGGGCCAGATTCGGCCCGCAGGCCCTGTGTTCTAGTCCCATTACTTTGCGCCTGATTGGCTCCGGACACGCACTCCACTGACTGCACCTGTCCCAGCAGCAGATATTCGGTGGAAATTGTTGGAGAAATTGCTGCTGACCAATAACTGGACGGCTCTTGTGGACACATTGTCCTCCCACCTGCGCTGAATGTGACGCAGAGAACGCCGATTGGGTGATCATTTCCAGGAATTCATTTTAATGTTTGAAAGCCGAAATGATTCCCGGAGAGTGGCCAAGGATGTCCCGCCATACCGCCAACCGCCAGAAGAGGGCACTCCGATCAGTGCATGGAACAAACTGGAGAATTGCAGCCTCTGGGGGGTCCAACAAGAAGGTTTTTATCAAGAGGATCCACACAATACAGCTGTGCCCATTATAAGGGGTTCCCACCATCCCTGTGCTGAGTTCCTGGGTCTGTACACCCACTGTGCCCATTATAAGGGGTTCCCACCATCCCTGTGCTGGTTCCTGGGTCTGTACACCCGCTGTGCCCATTATTAGGGGTTCCCACCAGGGGCAGACTGACCATTCGAGCACTTGGGCACTGCCCGAGGGCCTGGGGTCAGTAGGGGGCCCCATGAGATGCCCCTGGTACCTTTCAATGGCTTTTTCATAGGCTTTTTTTGGGTGTGGACGAGGACATAGGGGCCCCATTATCCCCTATTGCCCTGGAGCCCCATGAGTTGTCAGTCCACCCACTGTGCCCATTATGAGGGGTTCCCACCATCCCTGTGCTGAGTTCCCGGATCTGTATCCCTGCTAGTGCCCCTTATGAGGGGTTCCCACCATCCCTGTGCTGAGTTGCCCTGTATCCCTGGTCTGTCCCACCATGCCCTGTATCCCTGTGCCCATTATGAGGGGTTCCCACCATCCCTGTGCTGAGTTCCCGGGTCTGTATCCCTGCTAGTGCCCATTATGAGGGGTTCCCACCATCCCTGTGCTGAGTTCCCGGGTCTGTATCCCCCTGCTGTGCCCATTATGATGAGGGGTTCCCACCATCCCTGTGCTGAGTTCCCGGGTCTGTACACCCGCTGTGCCCATTATGAGGGGTTCCCACCATCCCTGTGCTGAGTTCCCGGGTCTGTACACCCGCTGTGCCCATTATGAGGGGTTCCCACCATCCCTGTGCTGAGTTCCCGGGTCTGTACACCCGCTGTGCCCATTATGAGGGGTGCTGCGTTCCCCGGGTCTGTACACCCCGCTGTGCCCCACCATCCCTGTGCTGCGTTCCCGGGTCTGTACACCCTGTGCTGTGCCCATTATGAGGGGTACCCACCATCCCTGTGCTGAGTTCCCGGGTCTGTACACATTTTATGCCCATTATGTGGTGCCTGTGCAGTTCTTGGCTGTGTTCACAAATGTCTGACACAGACCAGCCCCTGCTGCAACCTCTCCCTTTGCTACAAAGTTACAATGCACAGTTTGATCACTGGGGGGAGACTGAGGAAATTCTTCCTCCTGCCTGCAGCAGACTGATGACATCACCCTGGCCTAGGAAAAGTCGCTGATCAGAGATCAAGGACGACTTTGTGACAATTTCTGGCCGAGGCTCCTCCCCCTGAGTCTTGGGGCATGGTCCGGGATTCACGCACAAATGACTGACAGGTCCACTTGAATAAGACAGAAATAAATGACATTTTTTGTCTCTCTTAAAACTTTCCCCGTCACCTGACCTGAACCAGAACATGAAACCTGCCCAGAGATTCGGATTTTTTTTCCTCTTTTCCCGCGGTCGGCGTTCTGTCAAAAATCCCATCTGACGGCTCCCCTGTGATACAGTTTCCACGGCAACAGCGAGTATTATTCAAAAAAAAAAAAAAAAAAAAGTCCTCCGATAGACCTTGATGTACGTTTGGCACAATGTAACAGACGCGGTCGGTGCGGCACGTCGAGGAGATGTAGTCTACGCGTTCCGTGCGCTCCACCGTCAGCCGCACGTCTGCGGCCCGACCAGCCAATCACCTGTAGCTGGCTGCCGCGGCGAGGACTTGGTCCCGCGATGGGTGGAGGGCGCGTGGCTGCGCCGTGGATCGAACCCGTTCTCACTATTGTCGCAGTCTGCGCAGCTGGTTCCTTGCACCCCTTCCATAAACGGTCATGAAGGACAGCGCCCCTCAGTGGAAGACTGCACCCCTCGGTGGAAATCTGCGCCCCTCGGTGGAAGACTGCACCCCTCAAAGGAAGACCGTGCCCCTCAAAGGAAGACCGTGCCCCTCAAAGAAAAACTGCGCCCCTCGGTGGAAGACTGCGCCCCTGAAAAGGAAGACTGCAGCCCTCAAAGGAAGACTGCAGCCCCTCAAAAGGAAGACAGCTCCCCTCAAAAGGAAGACTGCGCCCCTCAAAAGGAAGACTGCGCCCCTCAAAGGAAGACAGCGCCCCTCAAAGACTGCAGCCCTCAAAAGGAAGACTGCGCCCCTGAAAAGGAAGACAGTGCCCCTCGGTGGAAGACAGCGCCCCTCAAAGGAAGACTGCAGCCCTGAAAAGGAAGACAGTGCCCCTCGGTGGAAGACTGCACCCCTGAAAAGGAAGACTG